CGAAGAGCGTGTCTTCACCATCACCGCTGCCCGATGTAGATCCCGTGATGAGGATGTCACGACATCGAGGCCACGGTTTATATGGGAGCCGGCGTCACTGTCGAGTGCTAGGGTTTGGGTCACCTTCATCATCACTGATCTAGGGTTCGGGGCTGGGATAAGACAGAGGGAGGGGAGGGGAAATGGCAACTACACAGTCTACTCTATGTGGGACCCACCTGTAAGGAAGGCCAAGGGGCAACCGGTGTCCAAAACGCCGAGCCATCACGGTCAAACGGCACTGACTAAGCGAAGCCATGACAGAAGGGCATTCGAGCTGACGGACGGGAAAAACTAAGGGCAAAACTGAGCATGTCCGAAAAGTAAGGGCAAAACCCGGGGTTGGGAACCAACTAGGGGCAAAGATGCAATTGTCCCAAAGTTATGTGTCCTGTACATCAAGGAACTTACAAATTCGAATTAAGGACATCAAGCGAAGCACTTGAGCTTTCTCAACTACCTCCTCCATCCCACAATATAAGAGCGCTCTTATATTATGGGACAAAGGGAGTAGATGCTATTACTAACAGATATTCAACCCTTACATTACTTAAAAAATAAACATATACAAATAGTTATGGAAATTCCTATCATTTTGTTGTCAAAATAGACAAGCGTGGCATTGCCTGCTATCAATGATCTAGTAATCACTCTAACCCAACCCGAGTGTTAGTTGGATGATTCATTGATCCTCCATTGTACGAAACTACGTACCAAACAAAGTAATAAACAGACATAGATCAATTGCATATGGATACTGGCATAAACATGACAATTCAGCAGACCAAAATACACACTTCATCGCCGGGCGGACAACGATCTAAACTAAAATAACTCAATAACTTAACGAACACGAGAAGGGTGAAGGAAAACACCATTTCCTTGTCGTCCCCTTTCCCTTGAGGTCATGGGTGCGGTTGTACCCCTCGTGTAAGCATCGGCGGCAGGAGGAGTATCGTCATCGGAGCCGTCAGAGTTGTCGTCGTAGGAGATGACATCGGCCATCCTCCGGACGGCACGCCCTTGCTCCTTCGCCAGCTGGGAGGCCTTAGCTTTGGCCGCCTTATCCGCCACCGCTTTGTGCTCCGACCGCTCAATGGAGGACGATGAGCTTCTCCACGTCGTCTGGCTTCCCATCGCACATCAGGGTCTCCCAGTTCATGGGGTCCTCTGCACCAAATGGTGCGCTGCCGGAGCTCGATATCAGACTGGAAGTAGAGCGAACGGGGAGAGGAGGACGCGTTCGGCGTCGGGACTCCCATACCTGCCCCAGAATTAGGCTAAGTTTGAGGGGTGTCGATCAGCCTGAACGTCCGCAACCAGTTTGGGAGGCCGACAGGGTCACGGTTTTGTGACCGGACCTTGACCAGGGTGTCCGCCCGGTCAATTTAGAGAGCCCGACTGTAGATGCTCTTAGAAACTAAACCTTAGATCTGACACTTCGGTGTCCTATAAAGACGAAATATTCTTTTAGTGAGAGACGGCAATAGCAATCAAATCTCAAGATTCGCTGACTCATTCTCCTCGGAGGTGCTTATATGAATAAAGAGTGTGTGCATGTGTTTAGAGCAACTCCAACGCACCAACCCAAACGGACGTCGCTTTTGTCCGCTTTTTATCCATTTGGGTTGGCCACCCGCCCGGCGTCCGCCCCGTTTTAGATTTGGGTTGGCAATGCGTCCAACGTGATGACCCATATGTGCCAGCGTTGTCGGTTAGCCGCCCTATTTCAACAAATAGCTCATTTTTTGCATTGTTTCACACACAACTTTTGCATTCAAACATATAGTCCAGAACGAAATAAACATAGTTTCAACCGAATAAAATATCATAGTTTTACAAGCCGGATGAAAGTAAAAATGTCTCACATAGTTTTGCAAGCCGAATAAAGAAGATACATCTATTGGTTGCCAACATGAGCCCACATATGCTCAACCAAATCATTTTGCAGTTGCATGTGAGTTTCCCAATCACGCATGTCATGATGAAATTGGGTGAACTGTTCAAACGTTGCTGCTCCTCCATGCTCAGCCACAACATTCTCACCTTGAAACTGAAACCCTTGATCGTACAGATGTTCCGGGCGCTCATCTTCTACGATCATATTGTGCATGATCACAAAAGCAGTCATCACCTCCCATAGTTTTTGCGTGCTCCAAGTATTAGCAGGATACAGAACGATGCCCCATCGAGATTGCAAAACACCAAAGGCACGCTCGACGTCCTTCCTAGCACTCTCTTGATCTTGGGCAAATCGTTTCCTCTTCTCTCCGATAGGGTTGGGTATTGTCTTCATAATAGTGGTCCACTGAGGATAGATACTGTCACCCAGGTAGTATCCTTTATCGGAGTTGTGGATGTTGATAGTAAAGTTCATCAGTGGGTTGTTGCCTTCAGCAAGCCTAGCAAACACCGGCGAGCACTGAAGCACGTTGATATCATTATGTGATCCGGCCATACCAAAGAAAGAGTGCCAGATCTAGAGATCTTGAGACGCCACGGCCTCTAGTATGACAGTGCATGCCCTGACATGACCCTTATATTTCCCTTGCCAAGCAGAAGGGCAGTTCTTCCACTCCCAATGCATGCACTCTATGCTGCCAAGCATACCTGGGAAGCCCCTGCTGGCATTCAATAACGGGTTGTATCTTCAGCAGTCGGCTCTCTCAAGTACTCAGGGTCAAACACAGCAATAACAGCCTTGCAGAACTTATACATGGAGTCTAGGCATGTAGACTCGCTCATACGGACGTACTCGTCAATGAGATCACCAGGCACTCCATATGCAAGCATTCGGATGGCGGCAGTGCATTTCTGATAAGAGGAGAAACCAATCTTTCCAATGGCATCCTCTTTGCACTCGAAATAGTCATCATAGCCGACCACCCTCTCTCTATTACGATTGAAAAGATGCCTACTCATATGAAAACGGTGGCAGAATTTCTGATGTTTGAACAACGAATTTGTTGTATCAAAGTAGTCCTTCCAAAGAAGGAAATGCCCGCTCTCCCGGTTGCGATTCAACGCCGGAAGGTGGCCCAGAATGGAACCACAGAACGCCGGGCGCTGGCTATTGAGGTGGTAATGGACCAACTTGGCAGCCAGTATCTCGTCCTCGTTATCGAACACGAATCGTCGGAGTCGCAAAGGAAATTGTGAAAAAAGAACTCCTAGGCGGAGTCCATTTGTACCTTGGTAAACTGTCGAATAGCTTGCGGGCGTCGACGAAGGGAGTCGCGACGCGCACGGACCAGCTAGCTGCCCTGCCGACGTCCGTTGAGCGTGCCGGTGAGGATCTGGCCGGGGCGGCGAGACGGCTTCTTGGTCGCGGTCGTGGCTGTGTCGGGGGAGCGGGGGTGGAAAGCTGTCGGTTCCCCGGCGGCAAGACAACGATGGCGGGCGTGGGAGGTGGCGGCGTTGCAAATGGGATGTTGCGGCACCGGCAGCTGGCAGAGTCACCGGAAAAAATGGGCGGCGGCGTCGACGACGAATAGGCGGGCGAGGGTTTGCTGTTGGATTGCGAGAGGCCAGTGTACCACTGACCAGCGGGCCGGGAGGAGAAGGCGATCGCGCGCACGTCTGACTCATGTCAGTGCCGACGCAAATCCGGCTGAAAAATGGCAGGAAATGGGTCGCCCGCGGATGAACAGCGGACACGTTTCCACGTTTGAGTCGGCGTGTTGGGTCGACTTTTGTGTCCGCGCAGACCCAAACGGACGTCGTGTCACCGTGTGTGTCTGTTTAACAAACAGAATGTCAGCATTTGTTGCAAATCCAGGAAATACCCACCAGAGACCAGCGATGGCGGCACCGCTTCCGTCGCCCCGTCCGGCGGGACCATCCCTGTTCCAAATCCTAGAGGGGGAGGCCAGAACCCAGGAGGGCAGCGCCCTCTCCCGCGTGCGCGGAGCCGACCGGGGAGAAGGGCATCCAGGCTCCCTTCCACTGGAACACTCGTTCCCAAACGTGGCGGCCGGGGAGGATGGTGATGGCGGCGCCGGCGCCGGCGCTCCTGCCAAACACAGCCGGCGACGAGGAGACGCGGCCGGCTCCCCTCGACGCTGTGCTGGATCGGCCGGCCCGCCCGACGAGCAGGACAAGGGGGGCAATGCTGGATCGGGCATGACCGTGAATCTCGCGTCCGTCTCCGAGTGTTCCAAGATTCCGTGTGCCGCGGCCTCCGGTATGACCGGCGATTCCGCATCTGCCTCCGAGATTTCTAACCATGGTTTTCATGGTTAATGTTGGATAGGAAGCCACTAACCCTGCAGCTGCACAAGCGGAGTATCCCGAGTTCCTGCACATGCCCAAAGAACCATTAATGTTCTAGAGCCTATCTTATATCAGTATCAGCTATATCTGGATGGTAGAAAAATCACTCTCCGGCTACATACTAGCTTCAAATGCATGTGGAAGCATGTGGTTTGCCCCATTTCCTCAGCAATTCTTTGTCCACTTTCACTCCAGCACCTGTGCACGAACTCATCACTAGTTTTTGTCGGCAGTTAGTAGTATGTTCTAATAAGTTGAAAGCTGGGCAAGTAGAAGTAGAACAAGTTGTGCAGATTGGATCTGCCAAAGTCAACTGGCATTCTTAATTCAGATCGACAGCAAGCTCTTGCCACTCTCGGGCAACTTTTGTACCACTTCCTTGGGACTTCACAGAATCTGGATGCATAAACAACTAATACTAAATCTTACAAACCTTGTGCTGGCAAAAGTTCTTATCTCTAGTTGACGCTTGAGAAGAGCAACACTCTGCAACAGTTTCCTTTTATGTCAGACTCGGGTCAGGTCTCAACTGGAAGCATCGTTTGATCGCCCTAACCAGGTACCGCATGCCACCAGTCTGCATTTTCACGCTGGATCTCGTCCTTAGTTACCATCCTGTCTCTCTAGAATTCAGGTGCAATGTAACTAATCTTGACTACAGTGCATGCAGATTGAAGCAGGAGTGAGCAATGGCTGCTGAAGGATGGCTGGAAGAGACGGTGAAGTTGTTGGGTTTCTGGGTGTTCCGGGCAGTGGTGCTTTCGAGCATATCCATGCATCTTGTCCTCGCCATCTTCTCCGAGAGCTGCCGGCATGAAGGCCACGGGTGGAAGAGGCGGTTCATATGGGTGGCGTATCAGGTGACTGAGTGGGGCCCAATGTATGTCCTCGGTAACCTTTACCTGGACACCACGCCGCAAGAGAAGCTGATTGTTGCGTTCTGGGTGCCGTTCCTCCTGCAACACCACGCTCGCCCGGACAACATGAGCGCCTACTCCATGGAGGACCATGAGGCCTGGGCACGCCGGATGCTGCTGGTTCCCGTTCAGTCATTCGGGGCCATCTATGTTTTGTACCGGTACATACTTGAAGACCCTGGCACGGGAAGCCTGCGCCAAGCGTCCTGCATCATGTTGTTCCTGGGCATTTTCAAGTATGTTGAGAGTGCGGTGGCGCTACGGCGAGGTGACTCGGCCGTTGTCCGGAGCTCATTCAAGCAACTGCCAAGTAGCTTGGTCGATGATGATTTTGGTGAAGTCAAGAACCTGGAGCTAGATGATGAGAAGGCCCTGTTGGTTGCTCACAGCCTGTTTGACATCTGCAAGGGTACGTTCTCTGATTACCCGATGGAGTACATAGATCGTGTTGCCATCAGAAGCATCTTTGCTGGTAGATGGAAGACTATGTTCAAGGTGGTGGAGATGGAACTCTCCCTCATGCACGACATCCTCTACACCAAGGCATCCGTGGTCCACACCTGGGGTGGCTACGCCATCCGTCTGGCCTCGCCGCCCCTCACCGCAGCAGCGCTACTGCTGTTTTGGCTTGATTATAAAGTAGACTTGGAGCGAATAGACACGGTTATCACTTACACATTGCTTTGGACGACCCTTCTCCTCGACATGGTATGGCTTCTCAGAGCACTAGTGTCAACCTGAACATACTCATTCTTCAAAGTTAGGCCACACAATTGGTTGAAGCATGAACTTTTCTGCCAGGAGAGATGGCAAAAGATCCGCGGCTTTGTCATCTCTCTCGGTCTTTCCAAGCTCTCCTCATGGTTGTGGACATGGGAGCCCAAAAGCTACAGGAGTTGGGCTGGAACTTTTGTGCAGCATAACCTCTTGTACCAGGGCACTCATGGACTGGCGAAGAAGATTGAATTGAAAGACCACTCAAGGCACCTTGAGATTCCAGAAAATGTCAAGAAGATGGTATTCAAAAATATATGCAGACGATTCTTTGGCCTTCGCGCAAAGCCTCGGGCCGGTGCTGATGGGATAAAAAACAAGCAAGCTGTGGAGGCCACGATTGTACCCTACGAGCCTAAGGAGTCAGACGGGGATATGAGGTTTCTTCCTGAATTTCAAGAGGTCATCCTCATCTGGCACATCGCCACGGACATTTTCCTCATGAGCATCACCCATATCATCACGGAAGCAGCTTCCCAAGAACATGTGAAGGCGATCAAGGTGATGTCCGATTACATGACGTTCCTTGCCACCGCACGCCCCCACATTGTACCGGGCCTTGACCGCAGCCTGTACGAGATTACCCGCCGTGCTCTGGAGGAGCTGAGGATGAGGAGCGCCATGGAGTTGGAGACCAGTTCCATTAGACCCAATGGGTATGCTAGTTCAACTGAAGAATTTGGTAGGTGGATGCTGCGTAGGCTTATGCCACATAATATTGCGAATACTACCATCCGGGTAGGAACTCGCCTCGCCCAGGTGCTGCTAAGCCTACTGAGCAAAACTACCGAAAATGTCACGCCTACCTGGATCATTACAGGGTTTGCACACTGGATCCCACGTTTGGCTTATCCTCCTGTAAGGGATATAGGTGATATTTTGGAGTTCATCTTTGATGCCTGGGTGGGTCTGCTCATCCAGGCGTCCATCCGGCGCAGCAGGGAGTCCCATGCCAAGCAACTCGGCCGTGGCGGTGACCTGACAACCATTGTGTGGATGATGGCGAAGCACGCAAGAGATTAGTACTGTCAAATCAAGTATCCTATCCTTTTTCCTCTGCAATAACTTTGTTGCGATTCTTCTCATCTCACCAGCTGCTGGTAAATGTGTACCCTCTTTCTGTCCGAAGTTGTACTCATGTATCTCTGGCTTGGCCGTCCTATGTTGTTATGCCTGCCTCTGCATTATTATGCAAATAATTCGATGTGTCTGAATCTTGAGTTACTACAACAGTTCACTAACTGATCCGCTCCGTTCAGTTGTGCTTAATATTCTTTTGTGAAAAAAATTAGCCAAAAAATATGCAGAAAGGGGTATAAAGAAATCTAAAAATAGACAAAACCATTGGGGTTATCGTATTCCGCCACAATATCAAATGCAGCCTTAATCCATTGCCCTGTTTGGATAGTGTAATTTTATTATGTGCTTAGCGGTATTTAGCTTGGCAATGGATGGTCACACCAATTTTTTTTCCCGGAAAACCAAATCGCTGAGTCGGTAAATTGAGTTATTGTTGTGGCAGGCTACGGGGCCATGGATCACCGCCTCATGCCAGGCGAGGGGGGCATTGATCGATGCCTCGTGCCAGGCGAGGGGGCAGGGAGCCCCTTTCAGGCCTCGTTTGGTTGCATGGGATCCCGGAGGGAACCCCGATTATTCCCCGGGCGGTAAAAGCACGGGCCAGATCAAGCCGGGGAAATCGAGCGCGACGTTTGGACGGATTCGTTGGGGGGGCATCCCTGCCCTACCCGCGTCGTTTCCCCGGGGAAACGTTCCACGCCTCCAGGGGTCGGGGAGAGAAGCCACGGCTCGAGCGAGACCGCGAGCGCAGCGACCGAAAGGCGGCGACGACCGGAGAGACGGACCGCCCCCTCCCTCCGGTGCTCCACCTCCATGCTCCGTCCACCAGCGACCACAACGTCCGTGGTCGTCTTGCTCCTCCTTCCCCAGATCTCCCCTCCTCCTCGAAGTTCCTGTCCCCTCCGGTGACGGCAACGCCGGCGGTTCCGCGGTCAACTTCCACCTACTTCGATTAAGGTTAGCCCCCCTCCTCTTCCACCTCATTTTTTTTCTCCCGTCCATCCACTCACCATCCATGCACTGATGCCTGAACTTTTTTTTAGGGAAACTGATGCCTGAACTTGCTGGTCCAGATCCAAGAACCCGAGCCTTCTCTTCTAAATAATTCCACATGGCGTAGACAAAATTTACTTCATTGGTTAGTAAGAGTCCATCTCATTTATTCCTGTGTTGTTCCTTTCTGAAAGGGGAAAAAGCTTAAGTCGGAGTAAATTACTATACTAGTCAAGACAACTAATTTTCATACAAGGGCACCAATGCACAAGCGGTGCCAATGTCAAAGTGTACTTATTTCAGAGATAATTGGAGCAGCCGTTGATCGGTTCAGCAGCAGTTGACATCTAATCAAATCACAGTTAATAGTAGGCAAAAATATTGGAGACCTAGTGTAAGATCAATTCATTAGGAGCATGATGGTATGGACAATTATCAGATAGTATCATAATGCATGGTTGTATCATAATTAATACACTATAATCATGCATTTCACTTACATGCACACAAAGAGCTCCGCAACTAGCATTTTAGAAAGATTAAATTCATATAATGATCCGTATATAATTGCCTATAATTTGCATTTCGGTACATGCTGGCTCATATTTTTCTCGGATAGCTCATATATTCATCACAACATTAACACACGTCTTGCGTTTTCTTATGGTGCTGTTTTTGTGTTTCCGTGGTGCAGATGTGTGTTGCCTTTCCTACAGTCTGTGTTTTCGTGCATTTTCACGCAAACTTTTGTGTCCTGAACTGATAAGTATTCGATTGTGTGCCAAATGCAGGTGCCCTGAGCCTCTGACATTAGCAAATGATTTGCTTTATCCGAAAACGCTAGGCGGTGGCGGCGGCGTTGTGTTCAGTGGCTAAGTGCCTTTTGGTTCGTTGGTCATTGAAAAGATTTCATCTGATGAAGAAAGGTATGTGAAAGTCATCCCTGGATGCCTTCTCCTTAGTTTTGTCACACAATCATAAGATGTGATGTGAAGAAGCTTAAATTTATCTGTTGGTATAAATTGATTGACTAGTCAGCAAGAGATGCGGTTGCCTGGTTGGTGATGTTATTCCTTCTGGCTGTCTAGTTAGATGGCATTGACTCACAGACCTTGATTAAGCAAGAAACACAACGCATGGATATAGCACTGCCAGCTTACGAAGTGCCAATTAGTAACAGCAAAAGTTCTACACCGATGTTAATTTTCCTTTCTTGCAAATAACTGCAGGGTCTTGCTTAAGCAAGAGAAAGTACTGCCAAGTATCAACTAGCTAGTTACAGATTCACTCATCAGGGAAGTAACTTGTAACAGCAGTGGAGTGTGGGCACGTGCCATATATCTATTAGTAATTTGGTACTTCCATCGTGCTTGTGCTAGCTCCAGGTTTGAATCTTCCTTAGTACTATATTTTTAGAAGTGATGCTTACTGTTGGTTAGGGTCTTCTTCTGAAGAACAATAACAATTTTTTTATATTTGTTGCAGAAGTTCTGCTATGCATTCATTAACACTTACGACACTGCCGGAGAATACATTGTTTGTGAATTGTTTGTTTGGCTGCCTTACGTCCTTTTATAGATAGAGTCCTTTACTTCTCCGCACTAAAAAATCCATGTTTGTTTTGTCCTTACTTTTCCCCTCATACATTTTTTTTGTCCCCATTTTTACTAATTTTGGAATTATATATTGGCGGGAAGCTTCACAATAAAGATATATTGTTTATCATCTTCCATTCTTCCGTCTTAAGTTATTTAGTAATTATTACTGAAATGTATGACACTATAACCTGAAACAGAAGTTAGTATTCTGGCTCTTATCTTTTTTCTCAACAAGTTCTGCTGATTGTTATTAAAAATCTAAGCTATAGTGATCATGTGTTCATGTAATTGTTACAATTCTCAGTTGGATACATGGTGCTAACTTTCTTACTTCTTTTTTTGTAGTTCAACGAACATCGAGTTGTGGTACTTGATGTCGATGCGGAGTGGCGAAAAGACCTGAGTAGGACTAGTGATTTTCACCTTGCAACTCAATCCTATTCGAAAGTGTGTATGCCTTGGACATGTGATAATTCAGAACCTTTTGTAGTGAACAAACTTAAACAATGGTGCATCAATGCCAATTGTATTGATTGCTTTTATGTTGGCACACGAAAAACGGTTTAGGTCAACGCTTGATTGCAATAAAATGCAAAGCGATGGATATTTGAATCTTGGTGAAGTGATGGATATCAGTTGTTGTTGTTTTTTTTTACGAAATTATAGTTTACATGAATTCTAAAGTTTTTTGTATGCGTCTATTTTTTTTTGAAAAATTATTTGTGCAATTTTTGTCTTTGATCTTTTTTTTATCATCTTTGATCTGTTGTGTTATATCTATATGTTGTATGTGAGGGGTTTCCTTCCCTCCCTTG